GACATGAAATTATCGATCGTAAAGATTTAAAAGTTAGCACAAAAAAGTCATGAAAGTCATTCGCATGTAGATAGTCGCGGTATTATCAAGTAGATATCGTAAATTTTTATGAAACTAATAAAATTTTTAGTAGCGCTGATAACACAGCAGTGTATGTTTAAAGCTAATATAATAATGTTTACATAAAAATAAGATATTTGAAACTATATATTTCTTGACTAATTTAAAGAAAAATAATTTTTTTTTAGCAAAAATGTAGAAGATTAATATATCTTGTTAACTTTAAGTGATTAAAAGCATGAGCATTAAGTTTAAAAATAAAATGAATAATAAAGCCTTATAATTTATTTAATTTTAAATCGCGATTATTTTAAGGAAAACTGAAGTTAAAATTTAATTACTAAATTATCTAATATATTGCTCTGGGCACCCTATATATTATAATAAATACATTATGACAAAATAAGTTAATAATTTAGGAGAAAATTAATGTCATATTATAAAAGTTTTTTTTAGATGATAGAGATCTAATTTAAATTCAAATCATTCTTGTTTATTTTTGCATCTAATTTTAATTATTAATTTGCAAATTTTGCAGAAGAATATGTATCGTTAGCGCCAAATGTGTATACACCGATAAGCAACGGTGGCTTTCTAGTTCGTAACAAAGGATGTCGGTTACCAGCAATGGATCCTTTGGATCCTGCAGTTCGACATTTTATAACAAAAGAGGTGCTTGAATGCGAGTATGGAAATTCTCTACCATTGATTGAATCAAACAATACTGCACTGTTTGTTAATCCGCTGGCGTGGAATAAATTCAACGATAGTTCAGGCAGTATAAACTGCTGTTGGAGGCCATTTTGGCGAACAAAAGACAATGACAACGCTGTTACGTTAGTATTAATAAAAATTTATTTGTTTACGTATGTTAAAAAGTTAAAATATATTAATTATATTAAAATTCTAAATTTTATATATATGTGTATGTATTATTTATTTATACATATATTTTAAGAAGAAAATAAATAAAAAATTTTATTAAAACTCTATACATGAATTGTTATAAAGAAAAATAAAATCGATGTGTTATAAAAACACATAAATCAATTTATATATTATTTAAAAGATTATGAAATCGAGAAGATGACATTTCTATTTCTTGAAAATATTAATTTAAGTATTAATTTAAGTATTTTTTATTTTACAGATATAATATCAACTCGAATAATAGCTCTTTTTAGAGATAACTTTTTTTGCAAATTAAAAAGATTAAACAATTTACTTTTACTTATTGTACTATTAATTGTATTATGTAAACTTTCAATATTTCATGTGGCTGTACAAATGAATGAATCGAGTACAATTTTCACTATTATATAATTATATATAATATTATATAATTATAAAATTATTTCAGATATTTATAATATAGACAAAAAGAGAATTAATGTATTTGAATTTGCTTTTAAATGACATTAATGCAATCCCCAGTATAAAAAACCTATGAGAAAATGCACTAATATTTCGTCATATTTGCAGATACGACACGCAGTGCTATCCTTTTCAAGATTCCTGCACTATAAACGTCGAATTCGTCAAGGTTGAGTGTTCTCAGAATAAAAAAGTGATATACAAAGATTACTTCGCTTTCCTACCTCGTAAGCCTTCGGTGGAAGAAAGATGCAAGCAAGCGATGGAAACGGACACGCTCGCCGACGATCGTCTCAGCGTTCTTGTTGTTGGCCTCGACTCCGTTTCCAGGATGAATTTTCATAGGATGATGCCGAAGACCGTAAAGTCGCTTCAGTCCCTCGGCGCTGTTGAGATGTTGGGCTACACCAAGGTCGCCGATAACACATATCCGAATCTCGTCCCAGTGCTAAGCGGTCTAAGTGCGAACGAGTTGCAGAGCCTGTGTTGGCAGATGCCTAACAAAACCTTCGACGAATGCCCGTTCCTGTGGAAGAAGTACAGTGACGCTGGTTACCGCACGATTTTTGGCGAGGACGCCTGCAGCATGACCACGTTTAATTATTTGAAACCGGGTTTCCGCGAGAAACCGACGGATTATTACTTGAGACCGTATTGCATCGGCGCCGAGAAGGACATCGGCAATACCCACAAGCTGAACGCCAATCTCTGCATCGGCACCAGAAAGACGTTCGACTGCATGCTGGATTACACCCGTAAAACCGCGATCGAGTTCTCCTCGGAGCTCTACTTCGCCTTTATCTGGCAGGCAAGTCTCACCCACGACTATTTCACCTATCCTCAGCTGGGCGACAATTCCTACCACGAGTTCATCGAGTACGCGTCGCGAGAGGGTTTGCTGAATCGCACAGCCTTGATCGTGATGAGCGACCACGGTATGAGATGGGGCGAGTTCCGGCAAACGTATCAGGGGAAAATCGAAGACAGTCTACCCTTCGTCTTTATCGTGCCGCCGAGATGGTGGCGCGAGAAGTTCCCGCTGGCCTGGGGAAACCTGCGGAGAAACAGTCACAGCCTCACGACGCCCTTCGACCTTCACGAAACGTTGACGGATCTGTTGAATCCGCACGTTTTGCGCGAGTCGTTCCTTAAGAGACGCATTAAGGTTCAGGAGACCTATGTGTCGCCTATGCCGCGTGGCATCAGTTGGTTTCTGCCGGTTCCGAGCACTCGCACTTGCGACATGGCCCATATCGCGAATCACTGGTGTATGTGCCACACGAGTAACTCGGTCTCGTGGAACGACACTGGCCTGCAGGACAGCGTGTCCTTCCTCGTCGGAGAACTGAACGACATGTTGAGCAGGTATCCCTCATGCGCGCTTCTGAATCTGAAGCTGATCAAGGACGCGAAGGTGTGGTTGGACAAGACAGACGGTGCGACACTGATGGATTACACGGTGACTATACAAACCACGCCGGGTGACGCGATCTTCGAGGGTACGGTACGCTACAAAGCGGACGATAACAGCCGCAAATTGGCCGGATCGATCAGCAGACTGAACGCCTACGGCACCCAGAGTGCCTGTGTTGACGAGTTCAACATGCGCTTATATTGTTACTGTCTTTAGATACAACATATCCGACTGGACTGTTCGAACGATCAATCTCGCATAGCATAGATCTTGCAGCTATATTGCGACAACAATGTTATACAATATTGCGGCAATGTTGTCGCAATATAGCCGCAAAGTTTGTGCTATATGAGACCTTTTGTATTTGATAATTTTAATTGAAGCTTGGAGCTAGAATTATTCGGATGATGCGTGCGTTTAAAGAACACTTTTGAGACATTCACGTGTAGATAGAGAATTCCAGGAAATAGGAATCAGTTCGATTAGATTTGATTAGGTGCATTTGGAGGAACCGTTACAATGTAAAATTGTTTTAACAAATTCCATGTCCTTCCATATACGATTTTTTGTAGAATATTGACTCTTCTACTTTATTATTCCAGATGGAAATGGACAATGTTTTTATATGTATAGCCAAACAAAATGACATACGGCGTTGAGTACTTATGTATAAAAAACTCATATCCTCGAGGATATCATGTTATGATATGAGCTTTTATCGTATATCGTGAACATAATTGCATAACTTAACGTTTATTTATACATATATTCTTCCATATAATTCATTGATTAATTTAATGGTGCAATAATAGAAATATTTAGAAATATTAAGGGGCAGTTTGCTTTGCACGTTTAAAATTAAGATATTTGAAATTAAAAAAAAAATATTTATAAATGCTACCATATACGATTTCGAATTTTTATATATATATATTAATGTTTTGAGAAGGTATTTAAATTTCTATGGATCATAAAGGTAATTATTTTTGTTGTTATACAATATTGATGAATTGTAAATAAAATCTATATCTAATTTTTATTTGTAAAGCAAATTATTATTAATATTATTATTGAAAAAAATATATATTTCTCAAATTTGGCCAATCTTGTAAATTTTAAATTAAAGTAAATGTATCTATATTAG